AGAGGTCAAGCTAGGAGTAAAGAACTCAAATTGTGCCTTAGTCTCCTCGCAGATTATGATGACAATTCCAACGATGAACAGTAGAGAAAAAAAAGCCAAGCACTTCAGAGGGAAGAAAAGGCACATATATAATTAAATCAACAAACAAGTATCATATAACCTCACTGCCCCACCACAACCCCAGGACCACCTCCACAGGCACAATACAATCCCAGACTAATCTTTCTCAAATCAACATTGTTCAGCTCACATGGGAGTGCATTTTCTCCTTCCAGATTTGAAAAATAATAGAGAAGATTGGAGTCAAATAAAAAAACATCTGAATTCTTATATTGGCATTTGTAAGGAAATACTCCAACAGCTGGAGTAGTGTGGACAGACTCACACTGAGGGCCTCTTCAGCATTAAATGTTGGCTCCAGAAATACCAGCAGCACAGAAAACATCCTCTGCAAGTCTCTGACTTGTGTTTATTGTTCTGCATGCCTGACATTTTAAAGAGGCATGGGGCATGCATTTTGTGCAGAGAACAGGGACAAGAGAATGAGAGAAAAATAAGGTGTCTATTGGTGAGAAGAAAATTTTTTCTTTTTTAATCCAAGACTCAAACTATACCTACCAAAGATATGAACTCATCAGCATTTTTCATGGACCCATTCCAGTAATCCCAAAGGACATAGGCTGTGTCCATCTGCACTTATAGTATTACCTTAGCACTGAAAGAAGAAAAAGTTTTTTCAAATATAGACCAAATCTTTGGCTGCCACCTGGTTCACCAGCTGAAATCCCTTCTTTCTGTCTGGACTATGAGGCATTGGTCATCAGTTTGTTCATCTTCATCCCAAATGTTATATTCCTCTGGTTGCACCTCTTTGTTATTCAGCTTCAGCCAGCAGCAGGGTGCTAGCTATGTCTCATTTATTTCCCAGAAAACCAGCTCTTCTTCTAAGACTGACCTACAGGTATCAATGGGGCAGTGGAAATGTTTGGTCTATAACAGTTCAACACAGAGCTGAATATCTCAGCGCTCCTGTCAAAAAAGAACTCTTTGGCGGTGGGATCATAGTCGTAGATTCTTGGGGCATGAGGCTCTGTTAGACTGCACAGCTTGGTCCCTGGGAAGGTCTGAAGAATGCTGCTGTATGTCTCATATCTGACTCCTCCAATAATCAGGATGATTTTTTCCTTGGAGTCTTCCATCTGTGAGGGAGGAGGAAGAAGCAGTCCTCATAGGCTCTTGTTTATCTTCAGTTGAAAAGAGAAGAACACAAAAGAAGTAAAGTAAAGCAAGTTCTGAAGCAGTAAGGATTTCCAGGGTACCTCACTGCAGTGCTTTTAATCACATTTTGTACCTGAAACCTGCATCTCCTACAGGGAGGAAGGCCCTTCTGCCCTTCCCCATAATGTTCAGTGCCTGTTCCTAGACTTTGCTCTGTGGATGCATTGTCTGAACACTTTTCAGGATATGCATCAAACAAAATGACAAACATCTGTTTTGCATTGTTTTCCCTCTCAGCTTCTCCCCATGGGGACAGAGCACACAGTCCAAACTCTGTTTCACCACATTTGTTCATATACTGTAGATAATCACTGCAATCAACTCATTTGAGGTAAAGTTTCATTCTCAATACAATCCTTCCACTATCCCTTTCCATGTCTAGTTCTTCCATCTCCACATCCAATTTCTTTCTCCACAAGCATTTTCTTGCAGTGACCTTCATGTGCCAAAGACGTACAAGTCATCAACAGCTTATTCTCCACTCAGGTCTTAAAACATAATCTCTTGTGTTGAGCCTGGCATAACAAGTTTCACAACAGACCTTGCTGCTTGGTGGGAACATTGAGATTGCCTGAACTACGCTTTTTCCTTCAGTCTTCCCTGTAGAGAGTCCCGCTGAGCCAAAACATCTTTCCCTCTGCAGAAAGTTGCTCTGGAAAGTTATCTGGAAACTATATGCAGGATTCCTGGAGTAGCTAGAAATGCAGAATAAGATACTGCCTCCTCCTGACATCTCAGAATAGCACTAGACTCTGCTGCCAAGGCCTCTGGCTTTGGAAAACATGTTCAGTTGCTTATTTCCTGTAATACATCCCCTTTTGCTGTTCAAAATTTAATGTGCCTGGAAGAAAAACTCAAGACCTGCTTTATGAACATTATTCTAAGAAGGTAGGGAAAACAAGGACCTATGTGTTCCTTAAGAACACCCAGGAGAGGTGCAGAATAGGGGCAGGATGTTACTGAGAAAGTAACTAAGGCCGTCTTTTACCCACATGTATTCACTTCTGACTTTCTTAACGCCTCCATTTCCTCTCTTCCATTTCTACGCATTCCTATCCAACCTTCTCTAATGCCCTGCATAACTGAAAGTCCAGTTGTCCCTCCTCTTTTTTTTGCAGAAAATGCTGAACGTGGGAGTCACAGGTCACTTCTGCAACAAACCTTGTAAAGAACTATGTATAGCACTTCATTCAGCCTTATGAATGAATGGAATGCTAGAAGCTGCAGCTTGGTCACACGCTCACGGCAGAAGAGAATTACCGCCCATCAGCTGTCCTTCCCAATCCCAACATACGTGAGTCTTGATGCACCTTCACCCTCAAGCTTCCACTAACTTCAACTAGAGCAGGATTCAGCACAAGGACTAAAAGTGTGCTGGTATTGTTTAGTACTTGCTGCATAGGAATCCACACAGCATGATTCTAAGTAGGTTAAATTAATCCATCACTCAGCAAATCCGGAGTTATATTCTTGGACTCTGTTGCCTAGCTCTCTAAAAGAGCACAGTGATTTTTGAGATCCCAGCTAAACTTGCCTTCATCTGCTTAGAAAGCCAGATATCTCTTGCTTAAACATAACAATCCTTATGTGAGAACTGAGCTGAAAAGTGCCATTTCATAATCTTACCTTGGTGCTCTTGCAGCAACTCTGCAACCAGAAGAAAGGAGAAGAGACTGGAAAAAACAGAGACAAATTCAGTGAAAACAGCATGTTCAATGGCTAGTCGCCAAAGCTCAAGTCTCATAGATACCAGAAAACAAAATCAGCCACTAACACTGAAAAGATGCAGAGGCCCCTCTCCTTTGTTCTCTGTCCTATCGGCAGTCGCTCTGCCCGCTCCAGGGAACAGTAGTCGAAGAAAGCAACAACTGCCAGGCCAGATACACTCCAACTGCTCTGACACCCACTGCTCTACCAACAACCTCAAAGAACCATGATGTTTGGAAAATAGGTGGAGCTCAAATGTCATAGGACCAATAAAGATTAAACTATCAAGCCACAGAAAGGCAAACAGAGCATTTTTCCTCCTTGGCTGTGGCTTATTTGAATAAAAAAATAATACAGAAAACAAAGGAGAAAACAAACAAAACCACCTGACTCCCATCTTCTTGTCACACTCTCTTCTTTTTTGGTTTAAAAGACTTTTTCCTTATTTCTGGATGACCCAAAGCTTAATCTTTTCTACCCACTGATTTTAAATGCATTTTTTGACATTGATTACTTCAGGAAGAAGGCTGGCACATTGTTGTTAATCCTAGTCAAGAAGGGAATGCTGCTATTTCCTTTCCGCTGACATTCCAAGACCTTTTCTAGGTATCACCTGTGCTTACTTCAGACTCTCCAGAAAGCAACTAGAAAAAGGATGTTCTTTACTCCCAGCAAGAGCAAGACTATTCAGGAAGGTTTCTGGGGACTTCCTTTTCAGTTATACAGATGAAATGCAGATTCATGTCCCTTCACAGAGGAAGTATTATCACAGTTCACCTGCTGGATTTTTCATTTTAAGCCATTACTTATATTACCACCCTAGCAAGTTTATTTAAAAAAATATGTTTTCCATTTAGGCCTTTTACCTAGACAGCAGTCTGGTTCTTTGATCCTCATCAGCACTTCAACCGTGAGTGCAAATAGCCTCACTCACCCCAACCATCCAGATAATCCTGGCCTCTTCTCTTAGCCAACACCACAGCAAGGCTGCAGAAACTAGAATGGCAAATTGCTGCCAATCTTGTGCGGGATATTCTGGGTAACAAGCCATATTTGCCCAATACTTCCCAATTCGGTACTGAGCAACCTCATAGCCAAACATTGCTGACAGAGACACAGCACAAGCATAATTCTCCTTAGATCCAGACTCCAAAAGCATGTGAAATCTATGCTGGTTCAGATCTCGCTCCCTGCTGTCTCTACAACAAGCACTAAACTCTCCACATCCTTCTCCCTCTCTGCAGAGAGTAAGAATGGAAACTACTCCTTTAAATTTGATTTCTGATATGTCTCTAAGGTTTTGATCAAGCCTGATATATCCTATCTGTTCCACAGCACTGTTTGCCTTTTAAAAGCTTTGCACTGCAACTGTTTCAGCTCTACCTCTCCCCTGACGTCTAACACAAGTGTACTCCTCAGATTACGCAAACAGATCAGTGAAAAGTTTTTTAAAAAAACTTTCAAAAGTAAGGTGATTTATTACCTGGATTACTGCAAAAACGTGTAAAATGTTGCAAACGGAGAGCAGTTAAATGTTCTGCAAGTGCAGATCCGCCCAGCGCAGGCTGGCAGGGCCGTGGCAGTGGCAGTAGCTGTGACCTAGGCAGGGGAGCTGCCTCCTCCCCGTGCCCGGCAGCCCCGAGTGCGGAAGGGTCCTGCAGACACGGCGTGAAGCCCTGCACTGCCCGCCTCTGACTTCGCCTCCCGCCGCAGGGACCCTGTTCCACAGCCCCCCAAGGCCTGCATCTGGCCGCGCTTCCTCGCACGGCTCCGCTCGCCCTGATCTCGGACACTCTTCGCCGTCCCTCAGTTCCCCGCAGCTGCACGAGAGGCCAATGCGCCTGTTCCGGGCCCCTTGGGCCGCGGCGGGTCCCCGGACGAGCCCCCACCGCGCTCGGGAAGCGCGGGCAGCCCCGGGAGCGGGAGGCGGGAGCGGCGCAGGGAGCAGGCGGGGCGGGAGGCGGGAGCGGCGCAGGCGCGGGGAGCGGCGGGCGGCTCGTCGGGCCTCACGTCGGGCCTCTCGTCGGGCCTCACGTCGGGCCTCATGTCGGGCCGCGCGGGGTCGGGCTGGCGCCGCGGGCGGCTGGGCTCGGCCCCGGCCCCCGGCCGCAGGCGGCTGAAGCCGCTGCGCACGGTGGTGGCGTGGAGGGGCCGGGCGGAGTGGGACCAGGTGATGGTGGGGCTGTACTGCGGGGACAGCCGGCTGCAGCAGGACGCGCTGGACCGGGTGTCGGCCTGGAAGAGCCGGTACGGGCCGCGCGGCGCGGGCGGGGAGCGCGATGCGGACCTCGGGGTTCCAAGCTCTGTCCCCGGAGCGGCTCCTTTGACCTTTCTGTCCCAGGCTCTCGCGGTCCTGGGCCCAGAGGACGCCGGGTACGCGGGCGCAGCTCCCCCAGGGGCAGCTCCGCGGCCGCGGCAGTGTGTGCAGACCGGGTAGGCGGCCCCATCTTGCAGGGCATCTTCGTTGTGGGAGGCTCCGGGCACGTAGCTCCTGTCAGACGCACAGTGATCCCGTGGAGAGCAGGGGACGCAGAAGACCTACGTGCCTGCAGCTGCACGGGCTGGTTTCTCGAGACAGTGAGCATACAAGGCCTCCAAATCTTATTCTGTGTTGCCTCTGCCGCATCCATACGGAAGACCTGCCTAGATAAGGCATCTTCTGTATGTGCGTAGCATATTAGTAAGTCCTCATTTAACATGTGCTTAGAAGTAGCCATGTAATCACTGTTCCAGGTAGAAGCCTTCTGGAAAGAGTCTTTGATGCTGTCTCTACATACTGTTTCTCAGGCTGTTATGTACCACAGAGCACAAAAACTACCTGGAAAGCTGCCTTTTTTGCAGGGTGACTGTATTTGTGTGACTGCTCACCCGGTTTTCCTTTATCTCCAGTTATGGTCAAAAAATGCCTCTTGCAGTGGATTGCACTGCAGAACTGATTCGTTGCAAGGTCCTGGATTCATCTGGCAGATTGAAGTCACACGAGCTCATCCTCTCTTATGGGCTGGCTCTTGTAAGGTAAGGGCTCTGAAGGCCTGTGTGCTTTGGGACAAAGTCCTGGGCAGATGTCCTTATTCAGCTAAGTTCACTGTGCATTTCTGGGACCACAACATGTGGGGAATTTGTCTCTGGGGTTCCAAGTTTCTCTGCAGCTTTTGATAGTAATTTTCTTTTCTGTAACGTTCATGCAGGTTTGTCAACTTGATCACAGAAAGGAAACAGAAGATGGCCAGCATTCCTCTGAGACAATTAGCCAGAGAGGTAAATGTTTAATAAGAGTTGCTTGATAATTTATGTCTACACAGAAAGCATATGCATTGTCTATTAACAACACTGGGTGGAGGGAGTTGTAGGATATCATTCTTTTGTAACCAAACTAATGGATATAGGTGCCAGTTCTTTCCAACTGCAAAGTTTTAAGAGGCTTGCTGCAACTGTATCTAAATTTTTGTTCTTTAAAGTCAGATTAAGACTAAAAAAAGCTGATGATCATTAAAGCTTTTTGAATCACGTGGTCAAAGCCTTGATTTACATGCGTATAGTCCCACTTGACATACTGCCCCATATTTTCCTTTCTTAGCTACTGAGATCCAGGAAAAGAGCTAAATCTGTAGTTTATAAATTCTACTCTTTGACAAGCAAGGCTATACATAAAAAGCACTTAATTACATTTACAGGCATTTTCATCTCGTGTCTCTGTCTTCAGGTGAGCTTGTCCACTTCTGTGTCAAGGAGGGAAGGTTCAAGCTGCAATTGTAATAGCAGGACCAACTTAAGTAGTTTTATTGCCAGCTGCACCGAACACCATATCTGGGGCTGAACAAGTTTTGATAGTGAAGGACAGACATCGTTTGAGCTCTTCTATATATGCAGCATTGTCTGGGCCCCTGTGTGAGAATGATGAATTGATTTCTGTTTTTTTTCACAGATTTTTAAGAAAGATTCTACTTCTCACCTTTTAAAACTGAGCAAGCTTAAAAACAGAGGTCTTGCATAGTTAAAGGTAGTTGTCCTTAGGAAAGTTGCCAAAAATTGTGTACAATTTAGTATGTGGATTTCGTTATTACGTATGATATGATTTGTATCTTTGGTATACAGTTATCCAGAATGTCTCATCTATTTAAATATAATTTAACTGCTTCTCAGTATCTTATTAAATTACACGCAGCACCTCTGTCTAAAAAGAAATCTGTTGTTGCAAGTAACACCAAAGAACTTAAAATCCCAAGGCCACAGGAGGAGTGGGATCAGGGAGTTGGGGGATCTTGGCCCACCCTTGAAGTGGGAAGCTGGGTAACTGCAGTGCAAGAGTGACCTAGGTATAGGCTCAGCTTTGTGGGGCTGCAGGCAGCTGTGGCATGATGCAGTGAAAATGTGGGGTGACATCCGCTGGCTGTTCTTCCAGGTGGATATCCCCATCTGGGTCGTGGACCTGCGTCACGAGCTGACCCACGGGAAGCTGCCGCGGCTGGCCCTGTGCCGCAAGGGTGAGTGCTGCCAGGGGGGTGGCACTGGCAGGGGTGGAAACACCAGTGCCATAGGCCCTAAGAGGAGCATCCCTCCCTCCAGTATGGGGGGCTGCAGGGCATGCTGCAGGGCATGCAGGGCTTGTCAGACGCGGGGAGGGTTTGCCACTGCCCTGTGGGGGTAGCTGAACTGTGTCTAGTGGCTCCAGGCTGTGGTGCATCACAGGGAAGATGTTCAGAGGCTGCCCCCCATCCCCGAAAAAATACTGGAAAAAACAGTTTGGTACTCTGGCTTTTTTACAGCACAGGAAGTTCATCTCAGGGAAATAGGTAAAACCTTTTCCTGATGGTTTAGAGGTAACCTAAGACTCTTTAAAAAATCCCATTTAGGGAGAAAAGCAGTATGTACTGCAAGCCTGAATGAATGACCAGCTCCTGGCATTTGAAGGGATTCTTGGGAATTTTGGGTTAAGCACTGATGAGCCAGTTAAATAGCCTTCATCAGGGTCCTTAGCTTGAGGTGGATACAGAAACTGTAACAGAAGTAAAGGCATTTTCTTTCTATCTAGTGTATGCCTAGTGTGCTCTCTGCACAAAAAAAAATTATGTTATTATTGTAGACACTGTGTTGACCATGGTGATACTGAAGTACTGGCTCATTTTCTCATTAGAATGCCACTGCTGGGACTTAGTTTCTGCTTAAATTTGACGTAGCTTGAGCTAGGTGCAGCACTATAGTAGTGTCCAGTCTTTTTTGTTGCCAAAAAGAAAGTGGATGGATGTTACCAGGCTTGTGATACTGGATTGTGGGGGATTTTTGTGGTTCCTTTTTGGGGGGAAGGAGGTTGGTTTTGTGTTGGGGTTTTTTTGGTGGGGTTTTTTGGGAGGTTTTTTTGGTTGGTTTTTTTTTTTTTTTAATTTGCTCACCTTTTCATTAATGGAGTTCTATGTGTTTTCTGGATTCGTAACTGTTTAATAGCATTTCTTTTCATAATACGAGTTATGAATGTGCCACCTATATTATTTTTTTTCAGTAACGAGTCCTCACTGAGAAGGTAATGTTTTCTGTTCTCCTTTAGGTTGTGATGTTGTGCTGGACTGGCTACGAAAGACATATTGGAGCCGTCAGCTGGGCAATAACTTGTGTGAAGAAAGTGAGGATGAGGATGAGGAAGAGGAGGAAGCAAACACAGAGTTGGGCAATGATGCGTGGGAGATTCAAACCCCGCAGCATGAGGCCTGTCAGAAACACAAAGAATTCCACGGTAGATGTCCCTATAACAATGGCAGATGAAAGGATTAGATGTGCTAGTTTAAACATGTCATCTTCTAGCATAAAGATATAGCTTCAGCTCAGGTTTTAGGATTCCTCTGCACCTTGGTGGATTCTTGAGGTTGACTGACTGGTTTGGTATTAGCTCACCAAATTTGTAGCATAAAATCCTTTACTTCTATTGAAAATGCAGTATCATAATCAGTAGCAACTGCTCTACTGGGACGAAAGCATTGTAAAAATTAGTTGTAGCGTCTTGATAGGCACAGTTTTCGTCTTGAGGCCACTACTGACAAAGAAGGCTATAGTCCTTTTATGGCTCTCAGAACTTTGTAGATTCTAACTTGAGAAAGAGCAAGATAGAAGCGATTTAGCCAGTTTCAAAATATTTTGCATGTGGACAGAAAAATCATTAACTGCTAATAGTATAAAAAAAAAAAAATCACAGATAACTCAACCTGGGCATAATCTGAGATACTATGTGCAGAACAATGGGAAATCTTTGGTAAACTGTTCCAATGGTTGCTTTTTCATCACTAGAAGTCTTTGAACCCAAAATAAAGGACTTTTCTCAAAGTGGATTTCTAGATTGAATGACTAAGTGGAGGAAGTGAGAGTTCAGCTTAGATGTCTGGTTTGCAAGTTTTAGGCATGTGAAGTATCAAACAGTACCTCAAGCAGTAAAACAGATTAGTCATAATTTTTTTCTAACAAAACATGGCAGGCTTATGGGGTGTAACTTGCCCAACCCATTACAGCAGCCCAGTCCAAGGCTCAGAGAGTGCAAAAATGCTGAAGTGATGCTTAGTGCTCCCTAGAAGGTCACACTAAGTGACTAATGATTCAGGCTTTAGGACCTACGGATTTGTTTCAAGTCTTTTCTAGATTCCTCCCTTACAGACTCTATATACATAGAGTTGCCGTGATCCAGAAAATTTTAGCTAATTTTTGAGTTTAAGACAGCATTTATTAGAACAATCCAAACCTAGAGGCAGTACTAAACTTCAGAATAGAGCAGCTCTTAACGTTTTTTTTTTTGTTAAAGTGTTTTTCTGGTCTTCTGTGTTCATGTTGAATGAGATCCAAGCATGAGCTGTTCCTTCTTCTCCCTGGCTACCCTAAATAAAAAAAACATACCACCCCCAGTTGACAAAAGAGAGAATCACAGGATGATATAGTAGATTCTGTGATTTGTATGTCCAGAGTAACGGAATGGGAATGGTATATCAGTCCTACAATTCAGATGCATTTGAAGTTTTATATGGCTGATACTGTGTGATGGACACCCTCTTAGCAGGCAACAGTGACAGCTGAATGGTGAAATATTTTGGAAGATGTTGCTATTTCAGGTATAGTAAAAGTGGTCCACAGATAAAAGACATGTCATGCAGGTGGTAAATTAAAGTTCAGTAAAGTCCAATAAGGACGCGGTTAGTTTGTAAATAGCCGTAGTGCCATTGCAATAGATGCAAAATCCAAGTATAAGAAATACAAATATGCATCAGAACATAAACTGCATATAGGAACAATTTCTTCCTAAACTGATCTATTTAAGGATTTTTTTGAGCTGTCTGCATTTATCCAACTTGCCTGTCTTTGACCACTGTTAGTGATAAAATATGGAATTCGTGGTTCAACCCCACCTGAGAAAATTTATGTTGCTGGAAAAGTCTGGGAGTTTTGTGAGTCTTTAGTGTGTTGTCTGAATCAGAATTTCTGTGTAATTTGACTGATGCCTTCCTTGAGTGTATATTCAGTAAAACTAAGCAGCTTGCTTAGAGACAAAATTCCCTTACATAGCTGATCTCCTGTTTAAACTACGTATTTATGTTTATTTCTAGAAAAAGTCAGAGATATTCTGATATCTTACAAGAATGAGCAGTTTCGGGTAAGTTTACTCTGATTATCAGCACTTTTGTTACTTCTCATTTCCTGCCTGGGGCAATACATCTTCTGTGTTAGTTCCTTGTTCGGATATCACTACTAGTGTTGTCACACATGGCTTGCCAAAGGAAAGCTCTACAGAGAACAAGCAATTCGAGCTGTGATAGTTTTTAATATGAACACTTTGTTCAGGTTTATAAAGGAAATACGTACTTATTGGAGATCCCAAGTCTTCCATGTCCCAGTGGATAGTGCTCAGTTTGTTTTCATTCATCCTAAAATCTCTGGAAATTTAGACCTGTCATTCAGAAGTCATTAGTCCATATTTTCTATCATCCATAGTATGTATTTGCAGTGACCCAGTGGCTGAGGTGCTGCAATTCATATTTGTGAGTAATGTGGCCCAGAAATCTTTCTTTCCTCAGCTTCTCCTTCGTACTAATGGGTTAGTTCTCGAGATGTTGTAAGAGCTGGGTTACAGACCCTCTCAGCAGTCTTTGGATATGACCTGTTGTTACTGGGGAGCTGTTCTCACTTTTATGTTGATTAATATCATTCAGGGCTTAAGGAGAAAGTGTGCTGATATTCTGGTGAAGTGTAAGACTTAAATCTGCAATGAGAGGTAGTGTCAGGAATTTTATTGAAAATGAACATCCAGTTTCCTTCATTGTCTTGGTTTTGGACTATGTAATATGATTTTCCTTTGTTCATCCTTCCTTTTCTGTATTTGTTACTGGCTTATTTTGTATGTTTTGCATTGCATGGTAAAGGAGACACATTGATTATGTGTGGTGGGTGACCTCTTAACATACAGAACAGAGGGAAGTACTTCAAATTGATTAGGAAAATGCAACTTCAAAATTTAAACTGGTCACAGTTGAATGGAGGAAAGGAGCAGTGAGTCAATTGCTAAAAAGTAATTGCAAACCTTTGTTTTAAAGTTTAGGTGAAATGCCTTATCCCATAGAAATTGAGCAAATAAAGGCTGATGAGTAAACTGTTAGATGCCTCAGTTTAACTGAATGCTGCACACAGTGCTTATGAAACCTGTCTGTTCACCCTGCAAGGCTGCCTTTCTTGTCGAATGATTGCAAGTGCTGCACTTCTAAGTCTGTCAACTGTAACACAATACTGTGGAATTGTGAAAAACGAATGCTCTGTAGATACATATGTTGTCAATATAGCTTTTGATATGCAGTTTTTGCCACTCTGAGGTTCACTGAATAAGGGTGGGCAAAGGATTTGCCAAGACCTGTCTATGTCAAGGAGTGTTAACCCTTATGGCTGATACCTGCAAGTGCTTAACTGAAGTTTATCTTTAATTAAAAAAGTAATACTATCTTTCTGTTTTAATAACTGTTTTCAGTAATTTTAAGAGCTGTAAGTTGGTCCTTTGTTGGCCTCTGGAACTCTGTTCTGTACAACAATAGACCTCTAATTTAAAACTGATTATGGCTCATAAAATCTTAGAAACTTAGAAATGGATTGAAAAAAAATGACATGGGCTTTTCCTTTTGCCCTTTTAGTGTTCAGATGATTTGGTGCATCCAAATAATTTTTTAACCACAACAGCAACTGAATGTTCCAAATATCAAATAAATACTACTTGAAGCTTTTCTAGGCCAGTATTTAAAAAGTCACCTTGCATTTGCACAGAAAGAGTGGTACAGTATCTTTGCTGGTTTCCCTGCATAAATGTACAGTGTGTGTCTGATCTTTTTCATGTAAAAAGGAGAATCACTTATACCTAAGTCATCTTTATAGCAGTGTAACTGTAGAGTCTCTGATTCAGATACTTCTCTAGCTATTTTATTAGATACTTTTTAAACTCAAAAGCATGTATGATTCTGTAGGATGTAAACTAGGCTAAAATATAGTTCTGTCACAGGGGCTGTGTACTTGATTGTCTGATTGTTTGTATGAGCGGGCTAGAGGTTCTTTAGTCACTTTAGGACGTCTTTATACTTGATTTATCATCTAAAGTATCTTTTGCATTTAGTGGTAGCTTTGCATATATAGAAAAGCTAATCACAGTCCTGAAAATGACACCTTGGTTTTTCAGTCTCATTTTACATTTCATTCCTGTTTGGCAGGAAAAATAATTTCTTCTTTTCTCTCAGTAGTTATTCCTTTCCAGGAAAGAATCAGCTAGATACTTGTTGGTGATGTAATGGGGTTTATGCCGATATTTTATAGAAGGTCTTGATGGTAGAACTGCCCCTTGGGTAGCTTGTGAGCATAAGTAGAAGGCATGTCTTACGTTGCTGAGCAGACTCAGACAAGGTATATATCAAATGAAGAAACCACTAGCTTTCAGAGGACTACTGACCTTAGATATTCCCTCTTTCATTCTTGGTATAATCTGGCTTTTATTTTGATCTACTGTGTGCATAATGTGATTGGCAAAACCTTGTCCTGAGTAGTCGACCTAATCCCCATGTCACGTGCTGAGTTAATGATTCAGAATGGGTCTGTCCTGGTTGGTGCTGAAGTCAGGGAGAGCAAGGTTTAGAACCAGAATGAAGATGCCAGGACTGTGACTCCTTGATACTCCTGTCTTTTTAATTCAGGCCTTTTCCAAGTACGACATGGCTTATATTAATTCTTACTATAACTCTAAGAAGAGGAGCTTTTGTGAATTTTTTCGAGTGCTGTTGATGACATACATATGGCATGTGCATCTTCCCTTCAGAGCAATGTCTTTATGTTTGCCATTGGGGCATATTTTCTGTTAATACTTGAATTTTTCCTTCACTCAGGTTATGCAGACTATGCAGTCTGCTTCAAAGTCTCGAGAATTGTGGTCTGATTCCTCTTCAGAAATGGATTGGATTTTGGCTCAGATCAAAGACCTGATGCAGGAAAACAGGTACATCTCTAATAAATAGCTGAGGTGAAAGGTACAGTCCAGAACTCGGCCTGTAGCCCTGTTGCGCTACCTTTTCACAGTGTTCTTCACCTGACAGTGGAGAAAGCAAGTAGTAGATTTCCTCAACATCTTTGAAGACTGAGTTGTTAATCTGTGTTAATGAGTAATGTTGCCTGTGCCAGCTGGTCTCCAAGATGTTGTCCCAGACTTAGCTGTGCTGGCCCCAAGGCATGTCAGCATCTTCAGTGTCTTCAAAAGCTTTCCCAACAACCTTGTTTAGACTTCGATTTCACAGTAACCTTTAGAATTCTTCAAGATTGCAGGGCAATACTTGGCATGTTCTGTACTTTCTATCTTTCTGTGAGTAGAGAGCCTCTAGGACGCAGTGTGTTGAGACTTTATTATCACCATACAAATTTGCATGAAGATCTTGAACCACTTTGAGAATTCTAATCAGTATAACTGTAGAGAGGAGAAAGTATCATGTTATAGATAAGAGCTATAACTCCTGATGTTTCATATATAAATATATATGCCCTACCAGCTGCTGATTAGTTCAAGAGGTTATCAGATGTGCCAGAATAAAACCCTGGATTGCCCATCAGTTGCTGGGCATGGAATAATGAGCAGGAAGGCATGAAGATTCTGTAATGAGAAGCAGAACTTGCTAAACATGGGGCTTCTGTATCACTTTAACTGTCTCTAAATAACTGGACGGTACAGGTAAAAGAAAGCCAGTATACCTGCCTGTGATTCTGATACTCACTCCCTAAGCATTCTCTGTCAGCCGCTGTCAGAACATGAAGGGACCACATGCAGCTGCCTATATACCAATATATATGTGTAAAATATATATTTATTTATATATATTTTACCTATATATATTAGATATAATTAGATGTTTGAACCTGGCATCATCTACATGGTAGAGAGGAAACAGACTGCCACAGTACAACACAAGGGTTGTGAAAGGTTCAAATGAGAAAAAGAGAATTCTTCTTCTGTGAAATGTGTTTTTAGGAAATGTTGAGGCAATGTAATGCATTTGGAAACAGGTAAAAGATCAGAGACAGGCCCTTTCCTTTAGGAAACTGAAGTAGTGAGGATCTCAAGATAATAACATATTTGGGGTCTTTCTAGTACTGCCTTTTTGGCATGCTCTCCTGTTAGTTTATGTCTGTGCAAAACTTAAGTTTTCATAACAGAAGCACATAATCAAAACAAGTACTTAATTTGTAAATACTGTGGATTTGATTTGCTTGCCATCCACGAATTCTGCAAATCATGCTTGTGGTATCCCATGAAAGTGTGTTAAATCACATTTTAACAGTTCTTTGCCATCATCTTTGTGCGAACAACGTGTTGCGTCGGCTCTTGCTGTTTGTCCCATGCAGCTGCACAACGTATATTGAACCCTGATTATGTGAGTGTCCAGAGGAGATGCTGCTTCCAAAATTAAAGCAGTTTAAAAACTTCGTCATCTATTTGGGAAAGTCCTGGAACTAGATGGCACATCTCAGGGGCCTGGTTTCATTTCAAGCCTTCACTGTCAGTTTTCTGAGAACTTTATTTGGAATTCCAGTCAGTCACTTAGGTAAGGGTATAAAACTAAACTGCCAGGTGTGGCCTAAAGAAACTGCAAGGGATCCTTTGCAGTTAGCTCATTTTCCTTCAGGTCTAAAAGAATCTTCTGCCCTCTGCAGAATCCAAATTACAGGCTACGTCGATAAATGACTGCAAAGGATACTCTGCTGCCTACTTTAGAGGACTGCCCAAGTGGACCTTGTGATGACCAGATGATCTTAAATGGTTCTCTGCTGAAGTTGCCATCTACCAGGAGATGTCCTTAATAGTTGGTCATGCATGTAGGAGTAATGGTAATGATACTGGAACAGTTTCCAGAGAGGAGAAGGATCGAAACTGGATTTTGTTTTTAGAAACAAATTACATTCTACCACTTGCCTTCTCATCTCCCACCACATCATCTACTTATGACGAAGTGATCTAGCATGTGTGTGTGTGTTGTTTCTATATGCTGAGCTCTTCAGCTGCTGTTTGATTTCTAAAAATGCAGCATTGTATCTAAGTCATGTCTGGATGTTTAGAGTTGGAAGTCACTCCTGTTGGAGAAGACAAATTTTCTCATCTGTTATCAAAATATGCCATGTTTGACATGGGTGCTACCATTCCAAATCTTTGCACGGGTATAGAAGCTCATGGATAGAATGTGAACAGAAGAATCCAAGAGAATCATAGTGGATATTGGGGTAGTTGTGGAAATTTTACTTCTGTCCCTTTTGCTGTATCTTATTTTCAAGAGTCAGTCAGTGCAGCCTACCTGTGTTGGTACCCTCAGTCTTCACTTTCATTAAGCCAGCCTAATAGGAGATGGAGTGATCCTGGAACCTGGAGCATTCAGTGCTGTCAGACTCACTGAAGTTTGCAGGATAGTTATAAGGGCAGGAGACATCCAAAAAAGAGCTGCAGGGAAGAGCAGTTTTGACCTTATCTGCTGAACAGCTGCGCACACTGAAGGGTGTGACTTGTGCCAGCAAGTCAGCAGGGTTGGCTTTCCCCCTGAGATTTAACATAGCGCTGTGAGTCAGAGGTTCTCTGATCTGGGCTGGCCAGCTGGCAGCAGAGTTGGATCGTACCCGTAGGTATTTCAGTATAAGTGTTCCTTTTGAAATACCAGGATACTTGTAACTCAAGTATAAATGTTTCCTTCAAGGTTCCGATTCTGTTCCAGTTTGTACAACTGCACATTTCCTCCAAGTCAAATAGGATATATCCAAGCCAAACCTGGCATATGGTTTTAGTGCCTTGCAAAATTTTCTATTCCCTCCTAATTAATTGGTCCAGGTATTTGGCTCTCAAACTTGTTTCAGAAGTGGTGCGAGCCATGTTTTGATTTGTAAAGGAGTAAGTGTCATTAATAAGTCTCTGATTGCTTTAGGGAATCAGTGGCTGCAGCTCTTCTCAGTGATGGCTTTCTCATCCCAAAGATGGATTGTCTGAAGTTGCTAAATATCAAGTATGAAGGTTAGTATTTTGGGCACCATGCAAGTAAGAAGTGCACAGTTAGTGTTCTGACCAAGTCTGTTCTTTTTTTCCCATTATGTTGAAATCTGTAATTCTCTGCATATTTTTTGTACATCTAGGTCCTCAAACATCTTTTGCCCTGTTCTCCAGACCCCTCTATGTCCATGCTTAGCTAATGCTTTTGCATAAATCTCTTAGTATGGAAGGCTAACTCTTCAGCACTGAATGCCCAGCCAAAATATCTTTCAAAGCCTGCATCTCTACCCTTTTATGCAATAGTTGCTGATTTCATGAACTCCCACTAATTTCATCTACATTGAAAATTTGAAGCAAATCAAAATGAATGGGGTTTTTTGAGCCTCATTCACCAGTTGCATCTTAGTTCCAAACTGCTGCCCATATGTATGGAGTTGCATGGATTTTCTGCAAGAGAATTAGATACCTAGAGGGAGTGAAAATTAATACATTCTGTATTTCACAGCCAAAGAACTTTCCAAGAAAGATCCTCAAATTTCGGTGACTATATTACAGTAGCAAAAATTGAGGAGCTTTTTTATTCTGTGTTGCTTTGCTCAATGTATCTTCTCTTTGCAGTATATTTTTAGACAGAATAGGACTTAATTATGTGTGAAATAAGCTGAAACGGAAAAAGGATTAGCAAAGCAGGTAGATTTTCCTGTGCTAATAATTTCCTTGTGCTAATTATCAATTTGTTGCTTATTTCATTTCCCTAGCATAAGAAAAGTGATAGTTTCAGGTTCAGTGAGGATCCCAAAAATACACTGGAACCAATGATCCTAGAACAGACAACTTCAGTTTGGTGCAAGTGTCACACCCACCTTTCACAAAAAATTACAAAACACTAATTTGTGGCTTCTCTTTTTTTTTTTAATTCTTATTGCAGCAAATAAAGAGGTATGGCAGTTCAAAATTCCTCAGACCTTTTACTGCTTTTGGCAACCTTTGCTGACAGGCCTTCTTTCACGAAGTTTTACACAGATCCTAATAGAGAAAATGTTTATGGAGCTGAAGGAATGTTCTGACTCTTCAGAACTCAGGCATCAGTTCTTGATCAGCTGGATTTCTGAGTTGCTGACTGGCATTGCCAAAGTAAATGCTGGTGAGTGTGTCTGGAATTTTTGTGTTTAAAGAAATATAAGAGTCTCCTCTGTAACGGTGTGAAAACGGGGAGTGGTGGGAACTTTAGACAGAAAGTGTAGTAACCTAATTAGTACATTTTGTCTTATGAACATAGAGATTTTATTGGTGCATTTCTTAGACTTTTCAACCTGCAGCTTATGCATTTCATGTATTTCTTAGTAAAAAATTGAAATTGTTATTAATAACTTCGCTGCAGCTTCCTCAAGATAGGAGAAGCCAGTTTTTTCCAGATATCAGTACTTGTAGGAAATAACAGTAGCAGGTAACAAATAAAGATGTTACGTGCAATCTGTTCCCTGTTCCCAGTTCTTTTCTCCCTTGACAGAAGCCTGCCTTTACAAGATACTAAATAGTGTTGCTGTCCTTTATTGATCCTATTACAGGACCTCTGTGCCTTCTAAAGTAATAAGAAGTATTTTGTTTTCAGTTCCTGACTCCTTAAAGCTGTTAAAATTTGCAAACTGTATGTTTCATTCCAGAGACAGGCAGTGAGGAGCCTTAATTATTCAGTGTCAGAGGTATTCTGTGAATAGGACTTCTATACTGTGGCCTAGTGTAATCCTTGAGATTTCCAGCTGGTTAATTTTACTGCCTCTTCTGTCTTCTCCTGGTCAGGCTCAGACTGCACAAAGATTTTGCCAGTATCTCAGGTAGTCATGGGTTAATATTTCATGCTTTCACTCAGCGCTGAGCATGCATCTGTTATGTTCCCAGACCCCTGAACGGTGCTCATTCACAGCTAACTCTACTCACTGCAGAGCTGCCTGGAATGGTGCTGGGTCCCAGATGCAGTATGCTGCATTTACTTGGGATAATACTGTTCAAACACATCTTATGGCTTTCCTGTCTGGGGTGACATGCACAGGACCAGCTTGGAAAGGTCTGCGCCTCGTTGTGGTTAGGTCTTGTGGAGCCAACCTGCTTGTCAGTGCATTGTCACGTCCCTTATGACAACCTTGATGTGTTTGGTCAATATATTGAGTCATGGACATGGATTGAAATGCCAGCTTATTTGAGGATGAGTTCCAGTAAAAATGCAGAGGGATGAAGGGCATATTTTTGAGTTTTGAGCACCTCGTCATTTTCATTATCTTCTTTGAAGGGAAGAAAAGACAGCACTGTAACAAACAGGTGTCGGTGAAGGAGCTGTTCCTCCATAAAGTTCCTTTGCAGTGGATAAGACTGACTGACAGTTGCTTGGAAGCTCCCTGCTGGGCAACCCCACATCTTCTTCAGCTGTAAGTTCGATCCTGTGCCCTAGAAAAGGGACAGGAAACAGTGCTCTGTAACAGCTTTGGTTCCCTAGTGATGCACTGAGTTATAGCTGTGTTCCCTTCCCTTCCTTTGCCTCTAGTATGAATTGTGACATGTGCATATAAAGCTGTGCTTGTTGCTACTCATCTCCTCACTGATTCCACAAAGAGAAGGAAGAGAATTTAAAGGATTGCACCTTCAAAATGAAAACAGAGGTTATCTGGGGAGGTACTGAAGAAGCAACCTGGTCAGAAGAAAAGTGTAGAGGTGTGACTGCTTATAGAGGTGATACCACCTGTGGTAAATTTGTAACTTTTACACATGAAAACAGCAAAGCAGGAATTCAGTTAGAAGTATCCTAAAGTCCTTAATTTTAATCACAAAGAGAGAGTATTACAGCATCCACGGATCAGGGAATAATCAGAATTTGCCTGTTAGAGGAGCTATATGAGCCAGCTGTCCTGGAGGAAACAAACACTTAAAAGCAGAAAAGACTCCAGTTGAAGGTTTATCAAGCCTTATAAGACTTTTCTATTGCGCTTTTTCCTTTTTAGGATCCTCACAATCATGAGACCTCGTTTGTCACGTACTTCTCGGAAGAACCTTCTCTATCTTGCTTCCATTTACACAGAAGGAGGTGCCCCTTTGTCCAGTCCAGGCCTCTCTTCAGACAGCAGTGAACATCCAATTTACACTATAGAGAGCTTACAGTGGAGAGTCAGGCAGGAAAATCAGGTTAAAAATCAAGGGCAGACTGTAGAGAAAGAAGATGATGTGCTGGAGAGAGATGATGGTGTAGAGGAAGCGGAGGAGGAGGAAGAAGAGATGGTAACTGAAACAAATCCTGTGGAAGGACTGGCTCATCCTGGTAACATGGCGGCTGTTGCTGAGAGAAGAGCAGCACTGCAAGGGTCCGCCTGGCAGATCACTGCAGGTAAAGAGTGACTCTGTAAGACTTGGACAGTCTTCACCACTGACAAATGTTAATTGAAATGCAAAGACATCGCAGCCTTTTGGGCCTGGCCATAATTGAAGTGTGCTTCAAAATCATCTAAATGCCAAATTACTGAAAAATGTGGTTTTTTCGAGTCTTCCATTTATATGCAGGAGTCATTTCTCTTAAGCTCTTAAAGCACCATGAGTGCGTTTTCCAGGAGCATGTTGTTACCGTCTCATTGATTTCTTTTGTTAGGCTTTTTACAAACTGTTTAAAATTTCAGTGTATCCAGCTGATAGGGCAGAATATGTGCCAGCTGTGAATGGCAAAGAAAATATGGATGTTTCCTGGTCTTGTGTTTGTGAGACTTGTAGGTATTTGAAAGCACAGTTTGGCCGTGAACCTAAGGTCCATGCTTCAGGAAAATGGCTGTTATGACATGGTGGCAAACAAAAGAAAGAAGCAAGGCAAGTTTTTAGAAGGAATAAACAGTGTATCCAGTGCTTTGTTATCTTTGCTGCAGTAGCTGTACTTTCTCATTGGGGTTGGAGGCTTCTGTAGCTTAAGAATTTTGAATGAGTGATTTATGGAGGGACTTGAATGCAGAAGGAGGAAGTTGGTGGAGTGGAGTCGGAATCAAAGTTATATTTAAAGGAAGAAAAGCAGGCATTAGAAGATAGTGAACTCTTGTACCCAATTCACTGGGAAATTTTCTCAAGTCAAAAAAACCCCAGAGATCTTAGTTATATGAACAGCTTGTTAGAGCTGTGTTTTTTGAGAACAAAAGCAAAATTGTCCTCTGCTTCTGTGACTTTGGTTCAGATCAAGCACAGCTTTTACTGAAGGAACACACATTGTGTCCTGAACTACCTGACTTTTTGGTGAAAATTCTGTTTATGAAGTTGTTTTTATATAAACTTAATTTGTTTATATAAACTTCAATTTTTTTAATATAAACTTAATATTCCACAAATAACATCTGTGTTGTTACCATCCTTAAACAATTTGATACTATAGCCAGTAGGTATATAGCAACCCGTGACATCATGTGGCATATCAGCTATTTACTGGGTTGTTCCCCAAAGAAAGGGTTTAGCCTGTTTAATATCTATAATGGTAGTTTGCCTTATAGCTGCATTAGATGTCACCACATACTGTCTCTGACCCTCTTTCAGCTATAAAATTATAACACTTAGAAAGCACTATCCCATCTCAAGAGGTTTTTGTTCTATTAAATGCCCAAGAATGGTATAAAATAAAAAACAAATAAATCTGCTGGTTCTCCTAGGGCAATGCTTGGGATTTTGAGCAGATACTGAGTGTACAAAATTAACCAATTTCAGTCAAAAAGAAGGAAATGACCCAGTTGTATGTGGTTAACAGTTGTTTCAAATAGTCTGTGAAATTATTGCTGGCTTTCTGGAGTGGAATCCCTTCTCAAAGCATCTCTCTGCTGGTCTTCGCTGAGCTGCGAGTAAATGTTCCAAAAATAAGTGTTCTGGTTATCAAGACAGCACATAGGCTTAAAAATCTTATTTTCAAAACAATGACATATGATAATTTATATCTATAATTTCTTAGATGTGAAATAAGGATGAAATTTAAAGAGGGATTTCCCTTTTAGGAACTGTCTTTGAAATTTTGGCCCCACAGTATAAAGGAACAGGCTTACTGATGTTATGAGATGTGATCAGTGGTTTTCCACTGTGCAATTTCTAGCCCCCACTGGAAGTCAAATTTAGCAAATGTGAAGTCATGGAGAAGAAACAGCCATAGGTGCTATATTTTCAAGACTCTGTCATATTCTTTTTCTTTGCCATCTTATCCCAGCCCACCTGTTTGTCCAGAGTTGCTTAACTGGTTATTTAGGCTTCCCCAGTCTTATGCTGCCCTATACTCTTCCACTGTTGTGGCTTCACTTCTTCTTTAGTCACTATTGGCACTGTAGCTGTGCTGCTGTTCATCTCAGGGAGTTGCTAAGGAGCTGATGCTTAGTCTCACTGGAGAAATGAGCTACTGGATGCAAAGATACTGCTTTGCATGTGTACAAATGGCTTCTTCATATGTGTACAAATGGCTTTTTCCATTTACAGAATTATGCAGAGCAATTTCTTAAAATTATCATAGGTAAGTCAATGTGTATGTTTCAAACAAAAGTGTTATTAGAAGAGGAAGGTAATGTGAAGGGTTGCTCCAGAATACTGTGGGGTTTCTTTTAATGGACATTGTTTCCCAGTGGCTTAGATGAGTTGCACTGTGTAGACTGCATGATAACGTTCCATGACTCAAGATATGTCCCTGCCGTTACATTCTACAGTGACTTTCTTTGGAAGAGATAGTAAGGTTAGAAATAAAATCAGTTACAACTGATTCAAAATAAGTTCAAACTTATTTTTGCTGCACACCTGAGATTGTTCATTTTTGCTGAATGGCTGAGTTGCATGGGGCAGTATTTGTGGACTTGGTGGGGGAATCTTGTTTCTGGGAAGGTCAGACTCCTTGTTTTTGTACTGTTTTTACCTAGATGAAGTACAATGGAAAGACTTTCCTCTTGGGAAACTCCCAGGTCAGACAGATGACCCTGATGGTCTCATGTTGGATAATTATTCTATGATGTCCCTGCTTGATCAGCCAGTGAGAGATGAGTGGAAGACTCTCCATACAAAGTGAGTAATGGTGTCCTGAAGCATGAAATGCATTTATCTCTGTGCCTTGTACTATACCATGTGAAAAATTAAGGCTGGGATTTCCTTTTTACTTCTGTTTAACTAAATAGTTTGACCTATCTAATATCTCGTACTGTCTCTAATACCCACTAACTGTGCTTCTTTCTTTCAAGTAATGTGTGTGTTTGGAAGGACCTTTGCAATGCTGGTGTAAGAGCATAACAGTCTGTGCTGTGCATAACAGTCTGTTCTTCAGACTGTGCTGACAACTTTCACCATTGTCTGATGCTTTTAGTAAGACACAGTCTGCTGATCCCTTAGAGTAACTAGTCTGGAAGGGCAGAATTTTAAAATAAAGCTACTGAGAGCTGGTGCAGAATCTGCCTGGTGATACACTGGGATGAATAATTTTTATGAGAATGACTGACCTCACAGTTAAAGCATTCAAGACTAAAAGCCTTGGAAGTCACTTAGCCTTCCCTAGTGTCAGTTTTCCTAGACTACTGATCTTGTGTAGGAAGGAGGAGTCATTCTGAAATGCACAGTGGTTTGCAGATGCACTTTGAGGTACATTAGTGGGAAAGCATGAAGATGAGGTGATAGTTACCCACAGAAAATGGTTGACTGCAATTACTTTTATAATACCTGAGGAAAGAATTGGCTGTACATCACTGGGGTGGTGAGTATGCTGAGAGTTTCACATCAGTGAATGCAAACATGTCTCTTTTCTGTATGCTTGAAATGGAAACCGAAGTACACTTCCTGAGTAAGCTCTCTGTCACTGCAGTTCCAGTTATTCATCCTATGGTTAACCCAGCATAAAACAAACTCTCTTCTTACCCTCACCCACCACAACAGGAAACTCTCCCTGCTTATTTGTACTGCATTAGTCTGACAGTGTGTTTGCATAATGGATAAAATCAGACAGAAGTTATTGCTGCCTGTATTGCTGTGACAACTCACCAGTGTCATGGGAAGTTACTTCATGAAGCCCTAATCTCACTTTTTGAAGATGAAAGAACATACTCAAAAATTACCTCTTTGCATTTGTCTCCTTCATCTATTCCTGTCATTAAGTCTGAGAGCTACTATTTATAATGGCTCCTGTTCTTATTCCTTTCTTTTGTCTTGCACTCCTTGTGTCTTTCAAACTATCTGAGACTTAAATGCAGCGGCACAATTAGTAGTCAAAAATGTGATTTCCATGGTATCCTTTGAGGAAGCCATCTTATAATATTGCTATCTTCACTCCTCCTGCCCTTTTTTTAAAAGAAACCCACTGCAAGGTTTATGAAATACTGCTATTTAGCAGTTACTAGCACAGCCTCAGCAGGCTTGAACACTTAAGTTTCTGTTAACTGGGGCTCCTCAGCCACAGTATGTTGGCAGTGCCCAGTGACCTTTTCAGAGCTGTAGCTACTAATTTAGAGCTGCATATCTGATCTCAGTAAAGAAACACAAGAGAAAAAAAGTCTTTAATTGTCTTTTCTTTTCATTAAACTGCAGAGTTCTCATAGGTTAGCAAGTATAATGCCCTCCTTTCACCTCTGTGACTGAGAGTTCTTTCTAGGACTGCCAGTAAACCATTTTGGCAAGTGGGTCACAAGCAACAAAACGAAATAAAGTCAAAGACTTTGACTTTCTTCTGACTCTGAGAGACTCTTTCTGTCAAAAGCAAACTCAGTCTCGTGTTGGCTCATCAGACAGTGCCCTTATCAGTGGCACTGCATTTTGAAATATGATCTAGTCATGGTGACGACTGATAGTATATTGATTGCAGGTTAAAGAGCTGTGAGCCAGAACATAGATTTCAGTGCTTTATGTTGCAGACTCCGAACAAAGCCAGCAGGCTTTGCTTTCCCCTCTGCCCCAGCAACCACTTTCCATGTGGCCTAAGATGCAGACAGGAGCAATTGCAAAAGCTTCCTCTACATTTAGCTGAGGAGGGGGTTTTCTTTTTCTCCTCATGTGCTGCTTCCAGTTGACTGTTTTTGAACAGTGTAGTATGTCATGCAGCTCATAGTACTAGAAAATACCCATGTAGAAAATGAAAAAGCACATATCAGGCCAAAGGCAACATGTCTCTGCTTCTCTTTGTGTGGGGAAAGGAGCAGACGGTTTATTACACTCAGATAACAGCTGGCAAGATACCAAGGAAAAAAGCTCAGAAAGAAACATGAGGAAAACCTGTTGTTACCACAAATAGAAAGGAGCAGAACCTGATTTATTCCTGTAGCTGTGCCTGGAAACAATCCAGGTTTCATCAGGAGTGTTATAACAGCAGCTTGTTCGTTATTCTTATTTCCCTTGCACAGCAGCTTCTCGATTTGCCAAAGGACATGTGGCATCAGAAAAGCGGACTGACTGGAGAAGAGGAGGCTCAGGGGAGACCTCCTCACTCTCTACAGCTCCCTGAAAGGAGGGTGTAGCCAGGTGGGGGGTCAGGCTCTTCTCCCAGGAACCAGCAGTAGGACAAGAGGGCTGGGTCTTCAGTTGTGCCAGGGGAAGGTTTAGGTTGGATATTAGGAAGGAATTTTTTCCAGAGAGAGTAATCAGCCATTGGAATGGGCTGCCCAGGGAGGGGGTGGAGCCACCATCCCTGGAGGTGTTGAAGGTGAGACTGGATGTGGCATCAGTGCCACAGTCTGGGAACCACGGCGGGGTTGGATCAAGGGTTGGACTTGATGATCTTGGAGGTCTTTTCCAACCTGGCTGATTCTGTGATTCTGCCCGAGGCAGAAGGGAGCAGATTTTCTGGACTACTGATGTATTTTTCTATGTAGAAGCTTTGTCCTCTGTCTTGTAGCTACATGAGTTTTTTACTTCCCCATTAAAGGTGTTTGTATGGCCTGTTCCAGAAGGGGTGTTTGCTATTTACTTCCTCTTTGATACTGCCCTCTAACTTCTCTGTCTGCAGAGAGCTGTTCTGCCAGACTCCTGAAGGAGTACCGAAGTATGGTATGAGAGATTGTGAAAAGTTGATGTTTTTCTTTGAAAATATCCCTAAGGTGCTTGGAAAAAGCACCTGTAGCATAGGCAGTGGGACATGCCCTTTCTAAAAGCTGTGGCCTTTGTCTTTCTGTCTGGCTCAAAGCAAAGCAAGGTAATGAACTGCAGAAGGGATTTCCTGGAGCATGGAGTTTGACATTAATTTGGGAAAAAGGGCTTTGACCAAGTCATGTGACAGAAGCAGAATCTCTTGCTGCAGCCCTAATTCACTGGGTCCACAGATGAGAATGAACACCTGGTGATCTTATGATGCATTTAGTCTATGTTGTTTAGCATCTGCCTGAATTCTGCCTGCCTTGTTTGAGGTCTGTGCTTCTTACTAAATAATTCCTATTAATCTGTGGCAAAACTTGATTGTATACCAGGAAAAAGAGGTTTCAGCTACAATCTCCCTTCATTTTTAAAGATAAACTCAGTCTTGAAAGACAATTAACAGCCCATCCCAATTCCCGTTTGACTTCTTTTCTGCTTTTGTTGTTGTATCTGGAGGTTCAAAATATTGGAGAATATGCCTCCCCTATGCTGAAAGTAACAGCCTAGCTATCCACAATGTTTTCCCCTCCTGAATAAGTAATTTTTTGTTCTTTCCTTGCCACTTAACACAGTTTGGCCTCTTGGGGAACCCTTTGCACAGTTTTCTCTGGTTTACCATCAGATCTTCCCAAAGACGAGCATGCTGTTGCCAAAACAGAACAGCTTGAATCTCAGAGAAGCAAAATAGTTCAAAAAGAGCAGAATCCAGCCAAAACTGTATTTAGCTATCTTTGCAGATAGATATGCTATTGGAAAAAAATAGGCCAAAACTGAGCCCAGGATTTGCGGTACGGCCTCACCAGTGCTGAGTACAGGGGGCCAATCACTGCCCTGCTCCTGCTGGCCACACTATTCCTGATACAGGTCAGGTGCCATTGGCCTTCTGCCCACCTGGGCACACGCTGGCTCATGGTCAGCCGCTGTCACCAGCATGCCCAGGGCCTTTTCCACAGGGCTGCTTTCCAGTCTCTCTGCCCCAGCCTGGAGCGTTCCTGGGTTGTGATTCAGGGGCATGTCAATGTCCCCAGAGTCCCTGTCTAGGAATGACAGCAAGTCTGTGAAGGTGAGGAGTATGCATCAAAACACAGAAAAAATTAACCCTTTAGCAGGCTGAATTCAGGATAGTGTCCAACAGCAGGAGGAAGACCATCAGGTCATTACAGTGAGAACTGTGGTGTTTCTGTTGTTGGCTTTGTCTGCAAGGCTTCTGGCAGTGTTTCATCTGAACAGGGACTAAGAGGTGTTTGATCTTAAAGGAGAAATAGTTTCTGAGGAGCTCTGAAAAGCAGCCTTTCCTATAGCCAGTTATTCTAGTACTGAGCATCTGGAAAAGGCTTAGAGTTTTTTGGTGAATAGCTTGAAGTTGCTGTGTAAATAAAACATCCCAAACATCTCAGTCTTTTTGCAGGAATTTCTTCTGTCTTCAGAGCTCTTTGGTTTTAACATGAGACAATTTCCTGAGATGCTTGGATACTTTGAAAAAGCTTACAGTTCCTTCCTCCCTGGCTCCAAAACATTGTGTTTATTGGTGGTTTTTCTGGTGTGTGCTTGTGCACGTGTGTTGTCTAAGTTCATGTTTAGTGTTGCTGAGGCAACCTCTGAAGCTTTGAACCTGTCATCCTTAGGCAGATGTTTTGTTTTTGTGATAAGTGTATGTGCTTTTTGTTAGCTCCCAGTGCTCAGTTTACCTGACAGCAGGAGCAAATTTGGCAAATAATGACCACTAGGAGCGTGTTCTGAGGGTGCAGGTGGTGACATGCTGTTCCTTTAGGGATTGCATACTTGAAAGTCTCTGTAAATGCACTGGTTCCCACAACTTCATTCTAAAGCCATAGGAATGGGTAGTATTTGTGTGCAGGATAGGCACTGTAACATTTGTAACTTGTGATGACTGTTCTTATGTTAATTGCTTGCTGTGTTAGCATTTCACCTGATGAGCTGCAAAGGACAGATGAAGGTTCAAATGAAAATTGTTCTCTGGTTATTTCTGCAGTCATGTGTCCCTCAGAACTGTCAGTAACTGGTAATCTTACTTTTGGTTTGTGCCTTGGTACCTTTGGTGTTTCGGGACTGTTGCCTCTCTTGAACAGACTGATGGAAAACTAAGGACATTCCAGCAGCTAAAAGCTAAAAAAGAAAAATGATGTTGTGGAAATAACGTGCTATCAAAATTAACTTCGGTGATGTGAGCTTCTAAAGCAGCTCAGTGCTTATGTGCTTTATTTCTCTTCCTCATAGCTCTGCAGAATTGAAAATTCATGGGACAGGAGGATTGTTATGGACCCAGAATGACTTCCATAAAATAAAAAGTGGCCTTCAACTTTTCTGAGACAGCATCAGAGTGCTCTGTGACTTTCAGTATTGCACAAGTTAAGTGGGATGGAAGAACTAGTAATGGTGGTGGGGAAATAATTTGTTGTTGTTGTTGTTATTTACTGATTTTTACCATATAAAATCAGTGTTTTATAAAGGTGGTTTAAGTTCCATGTATAATAACCATTGTCTTGCTTAACCACTGTCATGAACCTTTAGCTGTAGCTGATGTTTGCCAAATACAGTTAAGAGTAGTTTGGAATCCCTCAAGGTTCCTTAATTTTTTCATAGTTAATAAATGCAACTGACTTTGAAGACAAACCTTCCTCATGGTTCCTGTTTCTCCATTCTCACTCAGGTATTCTAGAAAGTGTCCTCTGGTCCTCATTAGCCAGACTGTTGAGCTGATATTGTCCTGTAGGAGTGATTTTGCCAAGATAAGATTATGCTACAGTTTTCACCTAGCTGGGATTTCACACAGAGCTTCAGGGATCAGTCCCGGCTATAGCATGGCTGATTGCACTGTGGTGCACAAATACCTTCCAGATGTTTTTGTCACCATTTTTCTCAAGTGATGATCTTGAGGCCATTACTGTCTCTTTTTCAATGAAGTTTTTTCCTTGATGTTATTTTTGTTCACAATTTTACTAAGGTTCATAACCAATACTGTGGTCTCTGCTGAGAGCTGGTATGATTACTGCAGAAATGGTCCTGAGTGAGTGCCCTGTTACTGAGAAAGTTACTGAGAAAAATGGCTTCCAGATAGTTTTTCCTAAATTCAGTTTTCTTTACCTATATTACAGGTTCTCAAAACGTGGAGGCTTGTGCAATTACCTGTAAAAAAACCCAGGAGTTTAAGTATGTATTTATTGCAGGACTCCTCAATAAGGCTTTGTTAGAGTGCATCTGCTAGAGGGTAATACAGAGGCTTTCTTGGAGTCAGTCTAATAATTTGATGTTTTATAAACTAATCAGAAAGAGGAACATGTTAGTAGAAAAAGGACACACAGCTTTAGCAGTACTTTGCATAGGACTGAAGTGCATGTTTAGAACAGCAAATTCATGGATGCTTTGGGCTGCTCTCAAGTAAAGGCTTAGCTAGATATCCATAATGTATTATTTCTTTATTCTTTCTTTTCTAATTTTTTGTTATCCTGTTCTACTGGAGTTGCTTGTTACCAGACAGCCAAAAGTTATTTACAATGGAAGATACACTGCACATTTCCTTCTTTAAAAGCAAACAGTGCCAATGCAGAAGGAAACAAACTTCTGAGGGATTTTTCATGTAAGCCTTTCCCCTTTCTCCTTTTTAGCCAGCAGTTACTCAAACTTATTTAGGAAATTCTGAGTGAAGGGGATTTGTTCTTTTATTACTGCATTTCAAAGAGTATGAAATTACTTAAAATATTGTATTCTGTATTGCAAACAAGCATACAATTCAAAAAGGAATGTGTGGTGCTGGCAAATACTGTACCGTATGTTAACTTTTTTCCCCTGTGGTAGAGGTTCACTTGGTGTGTGTCTGCCACTACCCCACCTAGATAATTTGGGATTTTTCAGTAAATCAGCTAAAAAATACCAAGAAATAATTTGGACAGACTACAACAGGTTTTTTGGATAAAACAGCTTTTTTTGAGCTCTTGTCTAAAGAGGGTTGAAAAAAAAGAACTAGAAACAAATAATCCAATGGCTCTCAGTTTTATTAAATAAGGAAATTTTTATATATTTATAGATATATAAACTATAACGTCTCATATTATTAAATAATTGTGCAAAACGTTTACACGGAGCAGGGGGGAACAGGTGATAGCCTCTACTTCTTTTAGATTCTTGCAGTTCTTTTAATGCATTTACAAACTTTAAATACCACAGACCAAAATCATCAGTATTGTAAAATGGCTCTTCAAAGGCTAACCAGACACTGGCATGAGAATAATTTAAGTGATGGTACACTTGTCTTTTTCCACTTGAAATATTGCAGGAAATACAGTCAATGAGGGCTCTGTCACACCAACAGGCTGTGGGTACATAAGAGGAGTATTAAAGCTGAACACTCGCCACAGAAGTAACCGTGACAGATCTAAAGATCTGACCATTAGGAGTCCTGGAATACTAATGCTTCAGGTAAACTTTTGGCAAATCAAGATCAAGGAACATTTCAACTCTGGAGCAAAGCTTCGCAGAAATGATGCATGTTCCTTCTCCTTAGCATGGAGTTTTAAAAATTACAATAATCAGGTGTTCCTGTTTGTGGTTTGCTTACATCACAGGTATGCTCACATGACACCAAGTATTTTATAACTTTATAATTTGGACAAATTCTTTTGTATGTTCTGACTTTATCATTAAGAATTTCAAAATGCCAAAATGCATAATTTGAGACAAACTGCCATTAAAAGTAGGTAGGAGGGAAACTCACATAGATGTTTTGGTTTAATTTGTTTTTTTTTCCAATGAGGCTCCTTCTACTTGTTCTGAGCAACCATACTCCACACCTATTTTTAAGTTTAAAGTTAAAGCATTTTTTACAAAAGCTAGACAGACTCATGCTAGTAAATAAATTACATGCAGCAGCAACTAGTGCAGTGTACACTTATTACTACAGAGATTTAAGAATACCACATACTGGTTTAACATCCATTTTCACTCATTTTGTCATTAAGACTTACATTATATTTGGGTCAACCAAAAAAACCCAAAGAGATTTATAAAATTTTACAACAATTAAACAGTAATGTTTAATTCTACAAATGAATAAAGCCAACTACTGCGGCTCAATATGACAACAACAGACTAACAGCAGTGAAATCATCTACAATTTACTATACTACAGACATGTATTTCTTACAAAAAACATTAAATAACTTAGACTGACATCCCATAAAGCATTTGTTTTTTGATTTATGAGTTTAAAGTTACACACTTTTAAGTGACAAATTATGTGAAAGTAATATAGCTAAAGATGGAAGATAAGTAAATCAGAACTCCCAGAGAATGCTCTGGCCCCAGTAAAGCACTAAAATCTACTGCTTAACTCTTGTTGACTGCAGTAGTCCGTGATTTTACCTTCACACTTTTTCCCCCCTCATCTAGAATTGTATTTTCATGGATTTTATTAAAATATAGTTTCTAGAACTGTTCTCTTACAGTTTTAAGAACATTTAAATACCATGCTCTCAAAAAGAGCATTTATATGAAGTCATATTTACAATATAGACAGTTATGATCAGGTGTTAATAAGATCAACTCTTCCATGTAAGAAGAAATCTAAGCTTATGCGCTGAAGATTAGTGAACGTGTCAGTGTTTTGAATTGTCTTGTAAACATATCTGAAAACAGACGTGGATGACTGAATTATCACTTAAAGTAATTGATCAGGAAGGACTACATCACATAGAAAAGTTTCATTACCTCTAAGGAGGACTACGTAAGCACAAAATTTGCAGGTTATTTCCACAAGGCTCCATTGCCCATTCTGTAACTATGCGTGGTGGATGCTAAATAGCTTCCTAGAAAAAGACAATTTGCCTTTGAAGTGCCTTAGAGAAATAGTTTGCTGGGTTTGTATTAGCATAGCATTCCCATTTTAAAAAAGGAATTATTCTATCACTAAAACAAAGGTTAGTGAAAATTTAAATGACCGGACAAATCCTACAAAAGTGGGTATCTCCATAAGCCACCCAACACTTCATACAGAAATCTCTGCTTGGTTTTCCACATTAGAAAACATAAAAAACACCTACTAAACCTCTCTTAAAATAGCTTATCTTTATAATTGGAGAAAAATGGAACAAACATTTTTCTGCATACAAATATCTAATTCCATGCAAGATGGAAAACATGAGTGCACAATAAACTTCATATCATACCTAAATAATTTATAAATTAATGTTAGAATAAAGTAAGGTCTATAGCAATTACTGATACATTTTAAACACATGCAGATGAGCTAACAGCAACATTTTTACATAAAGTTTAGTGCAAGAATGTATCTGCTTAATAAATAGACTGAAGATACCTATGTAATGCTTTGAGATGTACACACAGTATCTGTGCACATAAAACCTGGTTGTGAAAAGTTGTCCTTGTTTGTCTATAAACTACAAGTGCCCATTTTAAATAAAAAAAAAATCCATAATTACTCATGGGCTACTTCCCTGTGACACATGGTGTCACAAACATTGTGGTGAAAATGTAATACTGAAGTTAATCTAGAGATTATTTTTTATACACAGTTTTTATACAATCAAGAAAAAGAGATACAATTTGTATCAACAAACAAAAGGTCATTTCTGGCTATTTGAGGCATTGCTCTCAGCTGCTTATACCATGCAAGAGAAGAGAATAAGAATTATTTGCAAATAAAAAATATGAAATGTTTTTGAAAACTGGTCAAGAGTTAAATCTGTTTTCCCCAACTATCATAAGTGTCTGAAGATTTCTTTTTTCCCCATTACCAGAGAGAATAACCAACTAATTAAAACTTCAGTTACTTTTAAACACCAAGGGTAAATACAGAGTCACCTTCAAGTCACCTCATTTCAAATACATAATGACATGGTCATTTTATACATCATCTGTACCAACACAAGAATATTTATCCTGTGTGCAATGATACAGTTATCAAATCTCAGTAAATTAACTGTAGTTGCACCCATAATTGTGGTTTGTTGTTGGTTCATTTGTGGGGTTTTTTTATATGACAGGAACATATTTTGCACATGATAAAGAGCCCACGAGATATTTTGAATCAAACCAACCACTACAGTAACACAAGTGGAGGAAATGATGTAACTTTGTTTCTCAGACAAACAGATAACTAGAAAGCAGCATGCAAGCCATTATCAAAACACCAGAAACAACCCTGACTGCAGCCTCACGTTCTGTGTGTTTCACAGTAAGAAACATTTAGGCAGTGTCACACCTTCTCATGAAGAAACAAAAGGCCATAAACCAGGCCTTCTCAACTTTCATGAAAAAAACTACAGTAGAAGTCAACAAGTCCTAGCTCGAGACATGTCGAGTTAGTCATGGTTCAAAATGTTGAAATATACAGTGGATTCAAAAAAGGGCGTCCAGTCAGTGCAGCTTAAAAAAACCAATAAACGCCTCTTTTGGAGACATTTAGCTACAAAGGTTTCCACCCTGAGCAAGATACCAGTTGCGCAAACAATTGCCACACAAAATTATCTCACCTGTTGAAACAGGAACTCTAAAAGCCTTCGCGAGGCAAATGCACACCGTTGCGTGGATCTGAAGAGCAAGAACCAGGACAGCTTTGCCACAAATCCAAACTGGAGCATCTCTTTTCAAGAAGCAGC